GGTTGGATTTGGGACAGAAGATTTCAGCTGAAAAGCCACATGGGAACTTTCATCACTCTGGGTGCTTTTTACACACAATAGTTAAAAAAAGGAAGAAAGAAAAACTGTACTTCCAGTTCTAGGGTTATGCTTTGATTCAGAAACGACTTCAAGATGCCACCTAAGGATCCCGCAGCCACACACCCTGTACCATTTGGCGCTCCTCAGCAGTCTCAGACCTAAATACCGAGCAGGGCAACATTTTGCCAGGGCGAAACTCCACCAAGCCAGGGAGCAGAGTGCAGTTTCTGAGAAGGGTGGCATAGCAAAGAGAAAAAGAAATGTCTGGCCCCAGCAGATGCGTTGGGCCCGAGCCAGACACCGTGTCCTGTAGGCAGATGCTAGCGCTTCCCGACAAGACCTCCAATCCAGTCCCAATCCATAGCACAGAACAGCAACAGAGCCCCGGCTGGAATAAATGCCAGGGTCTTGCAGAGTTACAGATCTCTAACCTGGACACTTCTCTAAAAGGTGTATATCACTCTTAGAGTGGAATAGTCTTCACATCACTCAGGTACCTCTAGAAACTGAGTTCCCAAGAAGCAAGCCAGGCAAGAAAAAGTATGATACTGAGCTAAAATAACACATTATCCACCGATCCAGCAGTGTGAATTACATACAGCAAAAATCTCATCTGCTGAAATCCAGCAGTACGTGTGAATAAGAAGCTCTAACAAATCTTTCACTTTGAAGAAAATGCGTAAAGAAACACTAAATGGCAGAATCTCCCTAAGAAAAGGTTCTGCTAGCAAAAGAGCATCAGTGCCACAAAGTAGGGTTTATTAACAAGTACATGGTAAAGCATTATACAGATTTGCCCTTGATCTTTTATTCACAACTCAATGCACAAACTATTTTCATCAAAAAAAGGCAAAGGGGAAGAATATCTTTCACAGCTGCTCAGCATGCGAGCACAGGCATGATGCAAGGCAGACAATTCAAGCAGAAGACATGCGACTTTTTTTTTCCATCATGTAACATAGAGAGCGTGGGCCCAGCTTCTGCAAATCAAACTGTATGCTCCTTCTGTCAAACACCAAACCCAAAGCAAACTCACTGCACAAGGTTCTAGGTTTTCAAAAACTGACAGTGAGGGGGAATCATGTCCAGTGATGTAGATAACAATCATACATCAGAGAACATTTTGACCAAGAACTGCTATATCCAACACTGACAAATCCTTTAGAATTTCATGGACACTGTTCAACAAAGCAATCCTTTATACAAACAATCCTGGGGTCTCTGACACTTCAATAGACCCAGCCTGTACAGGTGGACAGAGACCTCGTGCACTCACGTCAGCACCCGAGGATTAAACTCCAACAAAAATCACTGTTTTCAGTCACCCTTCTGTAAGGGACCCTCCAACATTTCCAAATTTGTTTAAATAATACTTTTATTCTTAGTCTGGCTCAAATTATCCCATTATTAACACTGGTGTATGCATAGTGTGCTTTCTAATGTGACAGCTAAACCGAAGTTCGGTCCTCACTGGGTAGCATTATTCGACATCAGCACAATGTAACCCATGTCCTAATTTCACGAGTGTCGTTACTCTCCCCACCCTGGAGCCATTCCCAAGCCTCTTGCAAAGCCAGGTCCCCTGTCCAGATAACCACTGGTGCAGCCGGAGCTGGTCCCTGCGGGCAGGGACGGTGCTTGCCAGGGAGTGCTCGGTGCCTGACCCGGCTGCACCTCTCGGCACGGCGAGACAGGCTGCTCACGCAACGCCCTCGCCAAGTCATGCAGGAAGGAAGCAGCCCCGTAGCCGCAATGTCTCGCCTTCCCTTGAACCCACATGCCTGGATCAGGCTAGACCCTGCTACAGCATTTGTCCTGCAAAGCTGGAGCAGATGATACCCTAAAGCAATGCTCAGATGCCTAGTGCAGAGAGAACTAATTAACAAAAGCTCAACCTAAGCTGTGAGTAAATTCTAATAATCTAAGCAAATCCAAATAGATTTCCAGCCCAAGAGCATTTCACCAGCAGATCACAATTACACAGCCCACTGCCTGGGATTTGGGTCTCATTTTACTGTCTAGTGAGCTGCAACACAGTCACACAGTTCAGCAAAGTGTCACTAATCCATCAACATCCGATGTAGCCTGCACGCTCTACGGGTCTTCCATGAAAGCTGGGACCTCTCAGCCTCCAAACACTAATTTACCTACAGTATGAATTTGCAAGAAGCAGCTTATACCACTGTTACTGATCTCGGTATTATCTGTGGCTGCAATTCCTCAACCGTCATTTCACTCAGTTCTACAAACACGCGTATTTTCTGGGAGGCTCTTCTCAGGAGATACCGTGTACACTGCACCGCAAGATATGTTTTGCAGGAGAGGCTTGAAACAGGACTATGATGTAAATACAGTAGTCTCACTAGAAGAAGATTACATAGATTACATACATGAGAGTTTGTAACAAAATAACTGTAATCATTCCCTGAGCCAAAATGAATTAAAAAGAGACAAATGTACACGTACTTCAAAACTGGGACTCCCACTTGCAGAAGCACGTGTGCCCAAGCGGCAAGCGTTCGGTTCCAGCACGCATATAAGCAGTTAGGCTACATCAAGCATGCGATTGCAACTGTTGACGTGTGCGCAGCTAACACATTTCTAACCCTCACTACCACGTACCTATTCAGCGACAAAGATATAGTGGCAATTACCATCCGTTTCACTCTGAAGTTTCAGCCAAACCACCTCAGCTGGGGTTTTCCCTGACTCTGTCCAGGCAAAGCCCACCTGAGTCAGCACGCACACTCGCTTCCCCCTGCGCTCAGCACCGGGACCTTAGGTAGTTAAGAAAAACAAATCCTAACTAACAGCCCGAGCACAGCCTTTTCCCCTGGCCCTGCATGTAAAAAAGAGAGCAAAATGATGAAACTGGAGGGATAAACAGAGTGAGTGACAAAGGACTGTGAAGGAAAGGAGCTTCTTATGCCTACAAATATCTGCAGGGTGGGTGTCAGGAGGATGGGGCCAAGCTCTTTTCAGTGGTGCCCAGTGACAGGACAAGGGGCAATGGGCACAAACTGAGGCACAGGAAGTTCTGTCTGAACATGAGGAGGAACTTCTTCCCTCTGAGGGTGACGGAGCACTGGAACAGGCTGCCCAGGGAGGCTGTGGAGTCTCCTTCTCTGGAGATATTCAAGACCCGCCTGGACGGGGTCCTGTGCGGCCTGCTGTAGGTGACCCTGCTTGGGCAGGGGGGTTGGACTAGATGACCCACAGAGGTCCCTTCCAACCCCTACTATTCTGTGATTCTGTGATTCTGTGATTCTTCACGTGAGACCGTCTTCACAGCCCCAGTCACGTTTTTCCCAGTTCCACAGTATTCCCAGCTCCTGCGGCTTGTTCGTGAGCGACAGGCTAATAGCTGCTCTTTAACCAAGACAAGACATGGCTCTAGTAAATTTCTTGTCTGGCCTCAGGAAAATATTGATTTTATTTAACATGGACATGTGAAAGGGTATGAAGGTCTAATATAAAACGACAGCAATTATTTACTTTTCCCTCAGCAGCACCATCACCTGCCCCATTTCCTTCAGTCCCTGCAGTTCCACGCGAACTCTCCCATCCAGGCAGTGAACACAGCACACCCCGCTCCCTTCAGGCGACCAAGACAGGCCACGGGGTAAGGTGCTAAACTTGCAGGCAAAGCCACTTCATGTAACTACGCTGTGGCCTTGAGGGAAAAAAAAACACCCCACCTTAAAGGAACAGTATGCAAAATAGTACCTCTAGGGCCAAAGGCCACCCTCTCACTGGTGTCAACAACAACTCTGCATCAGGCAAACAGCATTTTATCCCTACTCTGCTCCACATTTATACAAGGATTCCCAATATCTTTTTTCCCATGAATAACAGCGAAAAAAATGGAAATGCACAAATAACTCAAACGCATTAATATTAAACTTACTGAAAAACTTCTGACATTACCTGTGTGTGTAAACTGTAGTGAAACCAGAATTTTGCCATCACCAGAGCCCTGTCTTTGTCTATTTCTGTGCCTCCTGAAGGAAAGGTCGGCTTTTCCGTGACATTTTTTACACCATCGCGTCTGTTCTGCATCACTGCAGCAAGATTTGCCGACTGGGTTTCAGCGGACTTTTCGGACAGGGCAATATTGATGGAAGGATTCACAACCGTGGTTTGTTGGGATTTTTTTACACGCCATTGGTGGCTGCACCAGGAGAGAGCAGGAGGAGTCGGTGAGGCTTCGTGGTGACCGGCGCGTTGCCGCTTCCCCTCAGGACAGATCCGCAGGCCTCGCCCCCCCTCACCGCTCCGGTCCCGGCCTCCTGGCACCCCGGCTCAGGCACAGCAGTGAGGAGCTACAGGCTA